AACAAGCCACTTAATATCACTCTTTCCTGCCTCTTAACATTAGTGTTGAACTTTTCTTATGCACAGACAGCAAAGATGTTTCAACACTTCTGTAAGCTTCTCCTATCAGACATTGTGTTTCATTTCATCATCTGCAAAAAGCAGGGGAAAGAGTTTACAATTTTGTGTTGGTTATCAACTGCAGCATCACAAACCACCCCACAGCTCAAAACAAATAATCATTTATCCTTTCAGCTCAAGTATCTGGAAACATCTAAGACCAAGCTGATCTAGGTTGAACCTAGTTGGGGTTGACTGAACTTGTGCTTCTGCAGTTTACTGACTGGAGGGAGCTCTATTCTTTACTGGCTTGCATTGGGCAAATTATCTAATGAGGATCTGCACCACCTTTCTTTCATCTTCCTGCAACCAAGAGACTAGCTGAGATATGTTTGTCTCGCGGTAGTGGAAGAGGCACAAATCAAGTCTAATTATGCAAACTCCATTTAAGCCTTTGCTTGTGTAATACCTGCTGAAGTTCCACTGGTCAAAGCAAGCCCCAGGAGTAAACCTAGGTCACCGAGCCATAGTAAAAGGACACTGCACATGGAGTGGATTCAGAGAAGTGTAAACATTTTAGTCAGATGTACAATCTCCCAAAGACTGGCACAAAGGTGGGTGTCAGTAAAAGTCCAGCTTAATTCCAGCTATGTGATGTTGAGTTCAGTTTTTCAGCTGTTAAGAAGAGAAGATGATGCCTACTGCAGAAGATCATTTGTGCGATTACAAGGATTAAATAAGAACATGACAAATGTGTGAAGTGCCTAATACAAAGTTAATTGGTAAATGTTCTATAGTTTTCATAGAATCTTGGGCTTGAAAACAGATTAATTCTAAGCTTTTTAATATTATTGTCATAATTGCATAATTTAGTGGGCCTATCAGCATGTCTAAGCAAATGTTAATCAGAGCCAGCCAAGGTTGTGTCTTTTGGATACCAGGAAAGAAAGAGTTACAGTGGCTGTTAGAGAGGAATTGATACGGAGTTTAGTAAAAAAATAAATTTTAGTTTGCTATCCAAAATATATGTTTCATAAATAGAGCTAAGATTTCACTGGAAACTTGAGAAAGGTTGGGCAATTAGTTATGTATATAAGAAACTGTGCTGAACCTGCCAAATTCTTTGAAGTGTCACAATCACTGAACAGAGAAGGTGCAAGTATGATATACAGGAATATCACATGACAAGATTTAGTGGGTTGGTGGTTATTGCCATTTGGTCTATTTTGCTATTTATGACCAGTCTTAGGAGTTTTCTTTAAAACTTATAAGAAGATGAAGCAATGAGAGTCTACACTAGCACACAATAATAATAACAATATAGATCGGTTGAAAGTAAAAGGAGGAAAGGTGATATGTTGTATAAACATTAATCAAAGGAGAACAGGAGTGTTATCTCAATATCAGCTAAAATTAATTTCAGAGCAAAGACAATTGGGAGAGACGGACAAGGGCATCACATAAGAAAAAAAAAAGATTCGGTTCGTGAAAAAGACTTGGCAATCTTAAATGTATATACAACCAATAACAGAGCTACAAAGTATGTGAAGCAAAATCTGATAGAACTGAAAGAATAAATACACAAATCAACAATTACAATTGGAGACTTCAACAAGCATCTTTCAATAATTGGTAGAAAAAGTAGACCTAAATACTATCAATGTTATAAAAAAAAAACCTCAACAACACCATCAATCCACAGGATTTCACTGGCATTCATAAAGTGCTCCAATGCCGGCTGGGCGTGATGGCTCAAGTCTGTAGTCCCAAAACTTTGGGAGGCCAAGGTGGGTGGATCACCTGAGGTCAGGAGTTGACCAACCTGGTCAACATGGCGAAACCCCGTCTCTACGAAAAATACTAGAATTAGCCAGGTGTGGTGGTGGGTGCCTGTAATCCCAGCTACTCGGGAGGTTGAGGCAGGAGAATCCCTTGAACCCGGGAGGCAAAGGTTGCAGTGAGCCAAGATCGCACCATTGCACTCCAGCCTGGACAAAAGAGCAGGAATCTGCCTAAAAAAAAAAAAAAAAAAGAAAAGAAAGAAAAAAAGTGCTCCACCCCCTAGCAGCAGAATACAGCAGAACGTTTAGGTACCCACAGAACATAAACTAAGATGGACTGTATCCTGGATTTAAACAAACATTAAGATTTTTAAAAGAACTGAAATCGTGTAGAATGTATTCTCCAACAAAAATGGCATCAATTATAAATAAAAGAGATAACAGCAAAATCTTAAGTACTTGAAAAATAAACAGCACACTTTTTTAGTTCTTTTTTTTTTTTTTTTTTTTACATTTTTGTTTATTTTAGGTTCTGGGGTACAGGTGGAGGATGTGCAGTTTTGTTACATAGGTAAATTTGTGCCATGGTACTTTGCTGTACCTATCAACCCATCACCTCAGTAGTAAGCCCAGCATGCATTAGCTGTTTTTCCTGATGCTCTCGCTCTCCCTCCTCCATCCACGGGCCCCAGTGTGTGTTGTTTCCTTCCCTATGTCAATGTGTTCTCATTGTTCAGCTCCTACTTACAAGTGAGAACACTCGATGTTTGGCTTCGTGTTTCTGAATTAGTTTCCTGAGGATAATGGCTTCCTGTTCCATCCATGTCCCTGCAATGGACATGATCTCGTTCCTTTTTATGGCTACATAGTATTCCCTGTTGTATGGGTACCACATTTTCTTCATCCAGTCTATCACTGATGGACATTTTGGTTGATTCCATGTCTTTGCTATTGAGAATAGTGCTAAACAGCAAGCACACCTCTAAGGAGAACGTCTCAAGGGAAACAAATATATTGAACTGAATAAAAAAAACAACATATCAAACTTGATTTAACACAGTGAATGTCAGTGCTGAGAGGAAAAGGTATTTCACTAAATGTGTATAATAGAAAAGTAGAAATTTCTCAAATAAAAATTCAAGCTATCATATCAAGAAAGTAGAATATAGTAGCAAAATGAAACCAAAACAAATATAAGAATATAATAAGGATAAGAGCAGGAAATAAATGAAACAGCCAAAAGAAAACAACAAAGAAAAGCAAATAAATAAAGTTGGTTCTTTGAAAATATCAATCAAATTGACAAATCTTTTCTAATAATGACAAAGAAAAAAGGGATGTCTTAAATTACCAATTTTATGAATGAAATAGGCTATCCTTACAGACCCTGAAGACATGAAAATGATAATAAAGGAATGTCATGAACAACTCCACTCACATACATTTGACAACTTGGAGAAAATGGGCCAATTTCATGAAAAACACAAACTACCACAAAATTCACCCAATCTAAAATAGATAATTTAATAGCCTTAAAAATTAAAGACGTTTAATTTCTAATTTTAAAGACTGCTGAAGGAGAAAGCTCCAGGACAAAATGGTTTTACTGAAGAATTTTACCTACTGCTTAAAGAATTGACACTAATACACACAATCATTTCTGAAAATAGAGAATCTTTCACAATTCATTTTTATGAAGCTAACATTACTGTGATATCAAAATAGACAGTACAAAAAAGTAAACTCTAGTCCGGTAATTCTCTTGAACATAGATATACTAATTCTTAACAACATTAGCAGTAGAACTCAGCAATATACACAAAGAATTACACAGCATGCCCCAGTGAAGTTTACACCAGTGACTGCACGCCTAGGTATTCGTCCCACTGAAATAAAAACTTTTTTTTTTTGCATTTGTAATTGGCTTCCCCTCTGTTTTTGTTGGCAAAAGCAGGTTGGTGTCCCAGGCTTAGAATCCATCTCTCTTCCTCTTCCCAGCCTCCCGAGTAGCTGGGAGTAAAGGTGCCCGCCACCACGCCCAGCTAATTTTTTGTATTTTTAGTAGAGACGAGGTTTCACCGTGTTAGGATGGTCTTGGATCTCCTGACCTCGTGATCCGCCTGCCTCGGCCTCCCAAAGTGCTGGGATTACAGGCGTCAGCCCCGCAACCGGCCAGAAGCCATTTTTCCTCCACATCAAAGCACCTGCGGTATGGGCGAAGCAGCCTGGAGCCTGACTGCATAAGCCTGCACAGCAGGAGGGTCCCGGCAGGAGGGTCAAGGTGCCCCTGCCTGGGTCCAGCTCAGAGGCCTCCAGGAGGCACGGGTCTTGCTCCCTGGTGCTGGCAGTGTCCTGTTCCCAGGATCTGCACATGGGGGTTACCTTCTTGCATCTCCCCATCGGTGGTACATGCTCCTCCAGACCCCCTCTTGTAGGCCTGGAGACAGCGGCCTGCACCTCAGCCCTACTGCATGCCAGTGAAGCGAAGCACCCCGGGCCAGAAGCCCCACAGCTGTTGACCCTGGCTTGGACACCAGGCAGGGGGCACCAGAGCAGGAGCTGGCCGCCCAGCCGTGATTCTGTGACCCGGAGTGCCCAGTCGCTGATGGTCCTGTGTTCGGGGTGTGGACCAAGGAGGAGCGGTGTCCAAGGCCCTTAGGCAGGTCCTGGGCTCCCTGGGCGTCTTGTGCTCAGCGATTTTGAGGCCATTTGCATCCAGCTCTGCCAACCCGAGCTCTGAGCCGCAGCGGCGGCCACCCGCAATAGCACCACCACGTGTCCTGGGGGCTTTCTTCAGAGGAGTCTGTCAGCATCCTCAAGTTCCAGGCGCTCTAGCCCCAGTCCTGCTTCAAGGGGCTTTTTCCCACCAGAGGCCTCTCCTCAGTGGCCTGAATGCTCGGCCAACTCCCATAAAGTTTGCCGATAACACAAAGCTGTCACTGACATTTGTGGCGCCAAGACTTGCGCACGCGGGTTGCACACATAGCCACTGTCTGCGCCACGTGCAATGACGCAGCCTGAGGCACGCCGCACGCGCACGCCGCACGCGCACGCCGCACGCGCACGCCGCACGCGCACGCCGCACGCGCACGCCGCACGCGCACGCCGCACGCGCACGCCGCACGCGCACGCCGCACGCGCACGCCGCACGCGCACGCCGCACGCGCACGCCGCACGCCGGCTTGGCTTGCCTGTAACGGGCTAGGCGTGGCTTTGTGTTCCTAGCTTGGCTTGGTGTTCGTAGCTTGGCTTGGCCTTAGTCGCTTTGCCTGGAGTTTCTTGCTTGGATTGGCATTTCCTCCCTCGCATTCCTTTGCTGGGCTTGACCTTTTCTTTGCTGGGTTTGGTATTCCCTTGACTGGGCTGGGTGTTTCCTTGGGGGTGGGGGGCTTGGTCTTTCCTGGGGTGGGCGTTGGCTTTCCCGGGCAGGTGTGGGTTTTCCCTGGGTGGGCTGGGTTGGGCTCCCCAGCTGGCAGGTTTTGGTTGGGATTGACCTTTCTCTTAGAGCAGATTGGAAACCCAGAATTTCCTGCTAGTTGTTGAAACTGGTTGGTAGACGCGATCTGCTCACTACTACCGGCCTCCCCTGGCTTTTAAAAGCAGGTGGTGGCTGAGGTTTGTTCAATGCCTGCTGCCTCCTCTATGAAGAAGCCGTTTGATCTCAGGAGCAAGATGGGCAAGTGGTGCTGCCACTGCTTCCCCTGCTGCAGGAGGAGCGGCAAGAGCAACGTGGGTGCTTGGGAAGACTACGACGACAGCGCCTTCATGGAGCCCCGGTACCACGTCCGTCAAGAAGATATGGGCAAGCTCCACAGAGCTGCCTGATGGGGTAAAGTCCCCAGAAAGGATCTCATCTACATGCTCAGGGGCACTGAAGTGAACAAGAGGGACAAGCAAAAGAGGTAACCGGGCCTGGGCTGGGAGGAGGCAGGACGTGGGGGGATGATGGAGACATACCCTCCTGGCGGGAGAGTGGGGAGACTGGCTTTCTCGCCTCCGCAGGCCCCACACTTCCCTGGGTGTGGAAACCTCAGAGAGGACAGGGCGCAGGCCCTTTATGAACAGCAACACAAAAACAAAACTGTAGCTGAATTCCAATCCAATTACTATTTCTCTTATAGAACACCAATAGTCTGTTTTAAAGTGATTTAACTCGCAAAATTAAGTTGATGCAGCAGATAATTTTTAATGTACACATTTGAAAACAATGTTCTATACATTATAGAAAGGTGTATATTGAGAACTAAGTCCCATAATACATCAACTTCTGGGCTAAATATTTTTCAAATAAAATCCAACATGGATTTTATATCGATGTACCCTTCGCAAATATGTTCTTTACTGAGGAACCGTAAAAGGAAACTGAAATGGGAAGTATGGTTCGTGTCCTTGAATAGGAAGATTCGTTTTTCTGAAGATGTGAGCTTCTTCTGTGTTTATCACTTTTATGTAAGCCAAATAAAAATAGCGAAGTTTTAGCGTTTTTAAAATGGACATGCTGTATTTTATTATTGTGATAAATTAATTTTTTTGCAACAGAATGGAAAAAGACTTGCTTTTCCAGATATCAAAATGTGCATGTGCTATTTCCACAAATTATTTACTAACAGCTGAAAAGACATCAATGAATAGAACAGAATAGGAAATCCAGAAATACCCAAATACATGTAAGAATTTATCACTTGATAATGGTGATGTTTCTTATTGGTAAAACAAGATGAATTTTTCATCAATGCTGAATAATTCATGCTGTTTGGAGAAAACTAGCTAGATTTTTATGTCACAAAAATAAGTTCCTGGAGTATTGATTAAAAATTTTAAATATACAAAAGGAGAAAAGCACCAGAAGAAAACACAAATGTCTATTTATATATGCAAATATTTATTTATTTTTCTGAGACAGAGTCTCACTCTGTTGTCCAGGCTGGAGTGTAGAGGCACAATGTCGGCTCACTACAACCTCTGCCTCCCAGGTTCAAGCAATTCTCCAGCTCAGCCTACTGAGTAGCTGGGATTACAGGTGCCCACCACCATGCCTGGCTAATTTTTTTTTTTTTTATTATACTTTAAGTTCTAGGGTACACATGCACAACGTGCAGGTTTGTTACATATGTATACATGTCATTTACATTAGGTATATCTCCTAATGCTATCCCTCCGCACCATCCCCACAATAGGACCCGGTGAGTGATGTTCCCCTTCCTGTGTCCTAGTGATCTCGTTGTTCAATTCCCACCTATGAGTGAGAACATGCAATATTTGGTTTTCTGTTCTTGTGATAGTTTGCTGAGAATGATGGTTTCCAGCTGCATCTATGTCCCTACAAAGGACACGAACTCATCCTTTCTTATAGCTGCATAGTATTCCATGGTGTATATGTACCACATTTTCTTAATCCAGTCTGACACTGATGGACATTTGGGTTGATTCCAAGTCTTTGCTATTGTGAATAGTGCTGCAATAAACATACGTGTGCATGTGTCTTTATAGCAGCATGACTTGTAATCCTTTGGGTATATACCCAGTAATGGGATGGCTCGGTCAAATGGTATTTCTAGTTCTAGATCCTTGAGGAATTGCCACACTGTTTTCCACAATGGTTGAACTAGTTTATAGTCCCACCAACAGTGTAAAAGTGTTCCTATTTCTCCACATCCTCCCCAGCACCTGTTGTTTCCTGATATTTTAATGATCACCATTCTAACTGGTGTGAGATGGTACCTCATTGTGGTTTTGATTTGCATTTCTCTGATGGCAAGTGATGATGAGCATTTTTTCATGTGTTTGTTGGCTGTATGAATGTCTTCTTTTGAGAAGTGTCTGTTCATATCCTTTGCCCACTTTTTGATGGGGTTGTTTGTTTTTTTCTTGTAAATTTGATTGAGTCCTTTATAGGTTCTGGATATTAGCCCTTTGTCAGATGAGTAGATTGCAAAAATTTTCTCCCATTCTGTAGGTTGCCTGTTCACTCTGATGGTAGTTTCTTTTGCTGTGCAGAAGCTCTTGAGTTTAATTAGATCCCATTTGTCAATTTTGGCTTTTGTTGCCGTTGCTTTTGGTGTTTTAGACATGAAGTCCTTGTCCATGCCTATGTCCTGAATGGTATTACCTAGATTTTCTTCTAGGGTTTTTATGGTTTTAGGTCTAACATTTAAGTCTCTAATCCATCTTGAATTGATTTTTGTATAAGGAGTAAGGAAAGGATCCAGTTTCAGCTTTCTACTTATGGCCAGCCAATTTTCCCAGCACCATTTATTAAATAGGGAATCCTTTTCCCATTTCTTGTTTTTGTCGGGTTTGTCAAAGATCAGATGGCTGTAGATGTGTGGTATTATTTCTGAGGACTCTGTTCTGTTCCATTGGTCTAGATCTCTGTTTTGGTACTGGTGCCAAAACATGGGACAATTTGACTTCTTCTTTTCCTAACTGAATACCCTTTGTTTCTTTCTCTTGCCTGATTGCCCTAGCCAGAACTTCCAACACTATGTTGAATAGGAGTGGTGAGAGAGGGCAGCCCTCTCTTGGGTCAGTTTTCAAAGGGAATGCTTCCAGTTTTTGCCCATTCACAATGATATTGGCCATGGGTTTGTCATAAACAGCTCTTATGATTTTGAGATACATTCCATCAATACCGAATTTATTGAGACTTTTTAGCATGAAGGGCTGTTGAATTTTGTCAAAGGCCTTTTCTGCATCTATTGAGATAATCATGTGGTTTTTGTCTTTGGTTCTGTTTATATGCTGGATTACGTTTATTGATTTGCGTATGTTGAATCAGCCTTGCATCCCAGGGATGAAGCCCACTTGATCATGGTGGATAAGCTTTTTGATGTGCTGCTGGATTTGGTTTGCCAGTATTTTATTGAGGATTTTTGCATTGATGTTCATCAGGGATATTGGTCTAAAATTCTCTTTTTTTGTTGTATCTCTGTCAGGCTTTGGTATCAGGATGATGTTGGCTTCATAAAATGAGTTAGGGAGGATTCCCTCTTTTTCTATTGATTGGAATAGTTTCAGAAGGAATGGTACCAGCTCCTCCTTGTACCTCTGGTAGAATTCGGCTGTGAATCCATCTGGTCCTGGACTTTTTTTGGTTGGTAGGCTATTAATTATTGCCTCAATTTCAGAGCCTGCTATTGGTCTATTTAGGGATTCAACTTCTTCCTGGTTTAGTCTTGGGAGAGTGTAAGTGTCCAGGAAATTATCCATTTCTTCTAGTTTATTTGCATAGAGGTGTTTATAGTATTCTCTGATGGTAGTTTGTATTTCTGTGGGGTCGGTGGTGATATCCCCTTTATCATTTTTTATTGCGCCTATTTGATTCTTCTCTCTTCTTTATTAGTCTTGTTAGCAGTCTATCAATTTTGTTGATGTTTTCAAAAAAAACGAGCTCCTGGATTCTTTGATATTTTGGAGGGTGTTTTGTGTCTTTATCTCCTTCAGTTCCACTCTGATCTTAGTTATTTCTTGCCTTCTGCTAGCTTTTGAATGTGTTTGCTCTTGCTTCTCTAGTTCTTTTAATTGTGATGTTAGAGTGTCAATTTTATATATTTCCTTCTTTCTCTTATGGACATTTAGTGCTATAAATTTCCCTCTACACACTGCTTTAAATGTGTCCCAGAGATTCTGGTATGTTGTAGCTTTGTTCTCATTGGTTTCAAAGAACATCTTTATTTTTGTCTTCATTTGGTTATGTAGCCAGTAGTCAGTCAGGAGCAGGTTGTTCAGTTTCCATGTAGTTGAACGGTTTTGATTGAGTTTCTTAGTCCTGAGTTCTAGTTTGATTGCACTGTGGTCTGAGAGACAATTTGCTATAATTTCTGTTCTTGTACATTTGCTGAGGAGTGCTTTACTTCCAATTATGTGTTCAATTTTGGAATAAGTGTGATGTGGTGCTGAGAAGAATGTATATTCTGTTGATTTGGGGTGGAGAGTTCCGTAGATGTCTATTAGGTCCGCTTGGTGCAGAGTTGAGTTCAATTCCTGGATATCCTTGTTAACTTTCTGTCTTGTTGATCTGTCTAATGTTGACAGTGGGGTGTTAAAGTCTTCCATTATTATTGTATGGGAGTCTAAATCTCTTTGTAAGTCTCTAAGGACTTGCTTTATGAATCGGGGTGCTCCTGTAGTGGGTGCATATTTATTTAGGATAGTTAGCTCTTCCTGATGAATTGATCCCTTACCATTATGTAATGGCCTTCTTTGTCTCTTTTGATCTTTGACGGTTTAAAGTCTGTTTTATCAGAGACTAGGATTGCAACCCCTGCTTTTTTTTTTTTTTTTTCCATTTGCTTAGTAGATCTTCCTCCATCCCTTTATTTTGAGCCTATGTGTGTCTCTGCATGTGAGATGGGTCTCCTGAATACAGCAAACTGATGGGCTTGACCCATTATCCAATTTGCCAGTCTGTGTCTTTTAATTGGACCATTTAGTCCATTTACATTTAAAGTTAATATTGTTATGGGTGAACTTGATCCTGTCATTATGATATTAGCTGGTTATTTTGCTCGCTAGTTGATGCAGTTTCTTCCTAGCATCGATGGATTTTACATTTTGACATGTTTTTGCAATGGCTGGTACCTGTTGTTCCTATCCATGTTTAGTGCTTCCTTTAGGATCTCTTGTAGGGCAGGCCTGGTGATGACAAAATCTCTAAGCATTTGCTTGTCTGTAAAGGATTTTATTTCTCCTTCGCTTATGAAACTTAGTTTGGCTGGGTATGAAATTCTGGGTTGAAAATTCTTTTCTTTAAGAATGTTGAATATTGGCCCCCACTCTCTTCTGGTTTTGAGAGTTTCTGCTGACAGATCTGCTGTTAGTCTGATGGGCTTCCCTTTGTGGGTAACCCGACCTTTCTCTCTGGCTGCCCTTAACCTTTTTTCCTTCATTTCAACTTTGGTGAATCTGACAATTATATGTCTTGGAGTTGCTCTTCTCGAGGAGTATCTTTGTGGTGTTCTCTGTATTTCCTGAATTTGAATGTTGGCCTGCCTTACTAGGTTGAGGAAGTTCTCCTGGATGATATCCTGAAGAGTGTTTTCCAACTTGGTTCCATTTTCCCCCTCACTTTCAGGCACCCCAATCAGATGTAGATTTGGTCTTTTTACATAATCCCATACTTCTTGCAGGCTTTGTTCATTTCTTTTTCTTCTTTTTTCTTTAGATTTCTCTTCTCGCTTCATTTCATTCATTTGATCCTCAATCGCTGATACTCTTTCTTCCAGTTGATCGAGTCGGTTACTGAAGCTTGTGCATTTGTCACGTATTTCTCGTGTCATGGTTTTCATCTCTGTCAGTTCGTTTATGGCCCTCTCTGCATTAATTATTCTAGTTATCAATTCTTCCACTCTTTTTTCAAGATTTTTAGTTTCTTTGCCCTGGGTACGTAATTCCTCCTTTGGCTCTGAGAAGTTTGATAGACTGAAGCCGTCTTCTCTCATCTCGTCAAAGTCTCCGTCCAGCTTTGACCCGTTGCTGGTGATGAGCTGCGTTCCTTTGCCGGGGGAGATGCGCTCTTATTTTTTGAATTTCCAGCTTTTCTGCCCTGCTTTTCCCCCATCTTTATGGTTTTATATGCCTCTGGTCTTTGATAATGGTGACGTACTGATGGGGTTTTGGTGTGGGCGTCCTTCCTGTTTGTTAGTTTTCCTTCTAACAGTCAGGACCCTCAGCTGTAGGTCTGTTGGGGATTGCTTGAGGTCCTCTCCAGACCCTGTTTGCCTGGGTATCAGCAGCAGAGGCTGCAGAAGATAGAATATTACTGAACAGCAAGTGTACCTGTCTGATTCTTGCTTTGGAAGCTTCCTCTCAGGGGTGTACTCCACCGTGGGAGGTGTGGGGTGTCGGTCTGCCCCTAGTGGGGGGTGTCTCCCAGTTAGACTACTCAGGGGTCAGGGACCCACTTGAGCAGGCAGTCTGTCTGTTCTCAGATCTCAACCTCCGTGTTGGGAGATCCACTGCTCTCTTCAAAGCTGTCAGACAGAGTCATTTGCATCTGCAAAGGTTTCTGCTGCTTTTTGTTGTTGTTGTTGTTATTGTTGTTGTTTAGCTGTTCCCTGTCTCCAGAGGTGGAGTCTACAGAGACAGGCAGGCCTCCTTGAGCTGCTGTGAGCTCCACCCAGTTCCAGCTTCCCAGCAGCTTTGTTTACCTATTTAAGCCTCAGCAATGGTGGGCGCCCCTCCCCCAGCCTCGCTGCTGCCTTGCCTAGATCGCAGACTGCTGTGCTAGCAATGAGGGAGGCTCTGTGGGCATGGGACCCTCCCAGCCAGGTGTGGGATATAATCTCCTGGTGTGCCCGTTTGCTAAGACCCTTGGTAAAGTGCAGTATGGGGGTGGGAGTTACCCGATTTTCCAGGTGTTGTGTGTCTCAGTTCCCCTGGCTAGGAAAAGGGATTCCCTTCCCCCTTGTGCTTCCCAGGTGAGGCGATGCCTCGCACTGCTTCAGCTCTGGCTGGTCGGGCTGCAGCAGCTGACCAGCAGCACCGATTGTCCGGCACTCCCTAGTGAGAATCTGGTACCTCAGTTGAAAATGCAGAAATCACCTGTCTTCTGTGTCGCTCACACTGGGAGCTGGAGACTGGAGCTGTTCCTATTCAGCCATCTTTTTTTTTTTTTTTTGAGATTATGGTATCACTATGTTGCTCTGGCTGGTCTCAAATTCCTGGCCTCAAGTGATCTTTCTGCCACAGCCTCCTAAAGTGCTGGGATTACAGGGATGAGCCACCATGCCTAGCATAGAGTATTACATTATTTTCAAAGTCTTATTCTAAGAGCCATTTATTGACTTTGGCCTAAATAACTCAATGTAATATCTCTGATACCTTTTTTGACAAATTTTGGGGCATAATAATGAGAGAAGGGGGTTTGAAACTTTGTAATAAGAGTTAACTTAGAGCCATTTATGGAGGAACAAATGCAAATTATCAGAAAAATAAAAGAAAGATCAAGTGTAAAAGTTCTGTGGCAAAGATGATGATAGTAAAGAATATATGTTTGTGACTCATGGTGGCTTTTACTTTGTTCTTGAATTTCTGAGTAATTTAAGGGTTAACATTTAAAGAATCTATATTATAGATAACATTTTATTGCAAGTAAATGTATTTGAAAATTTGTTATTGGTTTTGTATGAGATTATCCTCATCCTCCTTCATTATCAAGATATATGATTTTATTATTGTAGTTTGATGATCTTACAGCAGAGCTGGAAGCTGTATCTTCAAAATATGTCTATTTGACTAAAAACAATCAAGTTATTCAACAGGAATTATTATCTATGAAAAAAGTACAATAGGAATGTAAAAAACTTGAGGAGGATAAAAATGTTGGAAGAAGAAATATTAAATCTTAAGAAACATGGGAAGTACACATTGGTGAAGAGACATTGGTGAAATACAAAAATATAAATCAGATCTAGAAGAAAGGGCAATGCAGGCAATAGAAAAATTAGTAGAAATCCCTTTACAGGTTAGTTTGTAAAATCAGGTAAGTTTATTTATAATGTGCTTTCATTTATTTCATTGCAAATTATATTTTGGAGATATATATATATATGTTGTGTTTCCTCTGCCTCTCTCATAGCAATTTGCCTTGTAGAGTTCTAGCAAAAAGGTGGCATCTGTTTTTACTTTCAAATATTTAAATTTCCATCATTATAACAAAATTGATTTTTCAGAGTAATGATTCTCACTGTGGAGTCATTTGATTATTGAGACCCATTGGCATAAGATTACATCCTCTGACTATAAAAATCCTGGAAGAAAACCTAGGAAATATTCTTCTGGACATTGCACTTGGCAATGAATTTATGGGTAAGTCCTCAAAAGCAATTGCAAGAAAAATGAAAATTGACAAATGTGTTTTAATTAAACTAAAGAGCTTCTTCTGCACAGCATGAGAAACTATCAAGGGATTGAACAGACAGCCTACAGAATGGAAGAAATATTCACATACTATGCATACAGCAAAGGCCTATTATCCAGAATCCATAAGAGACTTAGACAAATCAACAAGCAAAAAATAAATAACTCCATTAAAAAATGGGCAAAGAACATGAACAGACAGTTTTCAAAAGAACACATATGTGGCCAACAAATATATTAACACATATATACCATCACTAATCATCAGAGAAATGCAAAACAAAATATCAGTGAAATCCCACCTCACACCAGTTAGAATGACTTCTGTTAAAAAGTAAAACTAATAAAAATATTTAAATATTTAATATTAAAATGTTATTTAGATTGAGATAATTTGTCATTATCATTAATTCTCAAAACATGGATATTTAAGAATAACCTTACTTCACATGTAATAACACAACAACTACCTTAAAAACTGAAAGCTGGGGCCTGGCACAGTGTCTCAAGTCTGTAATTCCAGCACTTTGAGAAGCTGAGGTGGGCCAATGATGATGTCAGGAGTTTGAGACAAGTCTGGCAAACATGGTGAATCCCTGTCTCTATTAAAAATACAAAAATTAGCTGGGCATGGTAGTGGGCACCTGTAATCTCAGCTACTCAGGAGGCTGAGGCAAGAGAATCATTGGAACCTGGGAGGCAGAGGTTGCAGTGAGCTGAGATCATGCCATTGCACTCCAACTTGGGCAACAGGGTGAGACTCAAAAATAAATAAATAAATAAATACAATTAAATAAATAAAAACAAATAAAAGCTGGAAGTTCTATGAAAACATTAATGCACATACCATCTTTTTAAAATGTTCATGGTTTCTGTAGAGATTTCAATACCTATTCTAGCTTATTAAAGTAACCTATAATTTGTATTATACCAACTGTAGTATAAAAACCTTAAAATGTATATTTGTTTCCTCTCTCCTCTGTACTATTTATGTCATGCATTATAGTCTCAAATATTGTGAATTCCATAATATAAAGTTACTCTTTTTAAAACAAAATAGACAATTATCTTTAGAGCACTGTAAAATCATTGGGTGATATATCTTTGTATCTTTTCTGGCACTCTTTATTTCTTTGTGTAGTTTCAACTTTCATCTGCTTCCATATTCCTTTTGCTTCAAGAAATCATTTTGACATTTATTTTAGTGCAGACCTGTTAACAAGGGACTCTTCCAGTGTTAATCTGAAAATGTCTTCATTTAATTGTTATTTTTGCTATATAGTTAATGAATATAAGATTGGGGGTTGACTTTTTTTCAGTTATTTAAAAATTTTGTATTTTAGTTAATTTCATATTACCAGAGAATTCTTGGATTCACTGGGGTATTTATTTGCTTGCTTCATTGGTTTATTTTGCTTTTCTCTTTCCTTCCTTCATGCTACCATTCAAATAATTTGTATTGACCCAGTATAAAATTTACTGCTTCTTTCTTTAACTCTGATGACCAGTCTGCTAATCAGCTTGCTGATGTAATTCTTCATCTCTGTTCTCATGCTTTCACTTATTTCTAGCTTTTGCCTTTTACTGTTCCCATCTCTGCTGAAATTCCTCATTTTTCCATTCACATCGTGTTTTTTAAACTAGATCCTTTAACATTTTGATCATTATTGTTTTAAATTACTTGCATTTAGTTCCACCATCTGAATTACCTCTGAATTTGATTCTGTTGACTTTTTATCTTTTGAAAATATTGTAACTCATAACTCAAATTTCTAACTTGCTTTTATGTGTCTCTCAGTTTCTAAAAAATGCAAATCATCAGATGTAGAAAAACAGTAGATGAGACAATTATTTATGTCCAGATTGTTTTATATTTCTGTTTCATTTTGGTGTGTGTCATGTTATTAGTGTGTACAGGAACAAAGGTTGCTTCTTGCTGTGGTGTCTGAAACATTCAGTGAACCATGTAACTCAAATTTCTCCAGCAGTAGGCTGCTATATCATGTGCCTTGTGTGAGGCCTTAGGCTCTGGAGGGCATATGCCAATGTCCTGTTCCACAGTTAGCTTTTGGTAGTCCTTACCACCTGTGTCATAGATAGGGTCTCTCTCCACTTTCTTGTTCCTCTCTAACTGTAGAACATCATTTTGTGTATGTGTATGTGTGTGACTAGGCAGAAAATTCAGGTTGAGGGCAGAGGGATGATTCATGTTATTTTTGAGCCAGTTTCATCATCCGACACTCAGAGAAGGGGTATTTTTAGCACTTCCTGACTCTTATTCTAGTGGAAGTCAAACTGTTACTTATCTGTGTTGTTTTTTGAGGAAGAAATAATACCTTGCCCTCCTCCCAGATCAGTGGTAGAAAACCTTTGGTTTATATCATTGCAAGTTTTCAGCCCCACAATAAGGACAAACTCTTATTTCTCCTTCCATAGGAACAATGCACCTTTGTCTGTGGTCACTGGATGGAGATTTTCCAACCCTTTACCACAGTAGCACAACTCTGCATTAGTGCAAAATCCTGGGCCCCAAAACAATCCCTGTTCCTTTCCTGATGGAGTATTTTTCCTCCATCCCTCCCCCAGAAACAGTGAGCCTTTGCCTGGTCTCAGGTAGGGTGGGTTAGGGTGTGATAGGTTTCTTAACCTTCTCTGAAAGCTGATGTGTTTTGCTGCTTCTTGTCTCCCAGAAACAGTTGACTTTTGCATGGGTTCATGGACCCAGATGCTTTTTTGCCACAGCAAATTAAGGATTTTGAATCTTAGGAGAGAAACAAATGTTCATGTAGTCAATTTTTTTCTTATTTATTTTTCGGTTTGTTTTCTTGTTTCAGTAATGATGAGTTGAATATGATCATTATTTTCCACTTAAGCCACTTGTAACTCTAATATTTTGTTTTTATTAGTCCCCCTTTGGCATTTCAGCACTAAATCAAATTCAGATAATCATCAGTTGTGTGAATAAAGTGTTTTTATTGAGAACAAAATGGTTGACATAAACACGGATTTGGATATTATCATATGTAGCACAATACATCGCTGGTTCAAAATGTAAAATCCTCTTTAGGCTGAACAAAGAATGGTTCTTGAAACTATTGTCCCTTTTTGACCAATAAAAAAAAAATCAATTTTTTAATCTCATGAATAGATTATTAAAATAATTACATACCTGATCTTCATTTTATGTTCTCTCTCTTCAAGATATTTCCTTAAAAGCTACTTTTAAAGATATTTCCTTAAAAGCTCTTTTGAATTACGTTAGACTCTGTATTTTCTCCACAAGATCATCAGGGTAAATCCTGCCTTTACATTTTTTATAAAAATTCTCTTTTTTTTTTTCCCCAAATCTTAGTTGAGCTGAAAGATTTCCACCAAATGTCTCCTATGCCACAAAGCCTTATTTCACGTATCTCCCCTGTCCTCCTTGCTCAAGCTCATTTAGGAATATTTTTATTAAAACATTCATGCAATACTGTTTTTTAAAAAGTCTGAACATAAAGTGTTTTCAGTTTGAACACAAAATAGTGCTGTAACTTGAAAACAAGTTTTAGAAATGAGTGTTTCTAGAAGAAGAATCAACAGTGTCATAAATATCATAATCCAATTTTCCTGTTTGTACTAAAATATTAGCAAATATTTATTGAGAAATGCTATCTGCCTGAAAGTATAATGCTTTTGATACACATTATATCATAAAAGCTAGGTACTATTCTTAGTAGTATCTTAAGAGTAAAAATACCGAGTCTTAGAGATGTTGCGCAAGTGCCCAAATAGCATAGCGAGAGTTGGAATTCTGAAATTCTGACTATCCTGTATGTATGATAGGAGAATCAATGCTTGTCAAATGTAACCGAAAAGTCGTGGTGGGGATTTGGAGGCCTCTGATTGGTAGGGTCAATACACTTAAGCAGATCATGTCACTACTTAGTTAAAACTATTTCATTAAAGCAAAATTCCACGTATTATTTCACAAATATTATTGGCACCAAAAACATTTTCCTTCCTTCCTTCCTTCCCTTCTTCCTTCCTTCCTTCCTTCCTTCCTTCGTTCCTTCGTTCCTTCTTGTACAGTGTAGTTATCTTAAAGATGAGTAGGGCCGGGGGTGGTGGCTCACACCTGTCATCCCAGGACTTTGGGAGGCCGAGGCAGGTGGATCACGAGGCCAGGAGTTCGAGACTAGCCTGGCCAAGATGGTGAAACCCCGTCTCTACTAAAAATATGAAAATTAGCTGGGCGCGGTGGAAGGAACTTGTAATCCCGGCTACTTGGGAGGCTGAAGCAGAAGAATCACTTGAACCCAGCAGGCAGAGGTTGCAGTGTGCTGATATCACGCCACTGCACTCTAACTTGGGCAACAGAGCAAGACTCCGTCTCCAAAAAAATGAATTTAAAAAAATGAAGATGAGAGTGGACCAGCCTGGCCAACATGGCAAAACTCCATCCATCTCCACTAAAAATACAATTATCAGCCAGGTGTGGTAGCATGCGCCTACGATCCCAGCCACTCAGGGAAGCCGAGGCACAAGAATCGCTAGAGCCTGGAAGACGGAGGTGGCAAGGTGAGACCCTGTCAAGAAAGAAAGAAAGAGAGAAAGAGAGAGAGAGAGAGAGAGACAGAAAAAGAGAAAGAGAAAGAGAAAGACGAAAATGAAAAGGAAAAGGAAAGGAAGGAAGGAAGGACTGTAGATCTCAGAGTTGACAAATGGGTAGATCCACTATGAGCTGCACATGGGGTGGTGGCCAAGCTTGGATTGCAGTTTGCAGTTTTCTTTTTTTGTATTTTTATACGAAGTCTTGCTCTGTCGCCAGGCTGGAGTGCTGTGGTAGGATCGCGACTCACTGAAGTCTCTGGCTCCCTGGTTCCAGCGATTCTCCTGCCTCAGCCTCCTGAGGAGCTGGGATTATAGGCACACCGAACCACGCCCAGCTAATTTTTGTATTTTTAGTA